CCTCTCTCTCTCTCTCTCTCAACCTCTCTCCCTCTGTCTCTCTCTGTCTCACCCTCTCCCTCTCTTTCTCCCTCTCCACTCCTCATACTCTCATTGTCGTCATCCACGCCCGCCATGTATGGCAGTGTCCTCATCTCCCTACTCCCTCTCCCTCTCTCCTCTCTGTAATACTGGCAACGTTCCAACACCGCGTCTACAGCGTCGATCATCGGCGAAAACCGCAAGTACAGCGTCCGTCGGCCTCACGCGCACCGCAAGAACCAGGAACGGTGCAGAAGAGCGAATGGCCAACCAGCCCAGGTCAACGCTTAAATAGTGYTGCACTGGACTGGTCGGGCGAGCATCTGGTCAACGCACGTGAGACTGGGGACGAAAGGGTCAGACATTGGTGGTGGATCCATCTCCTTCCTCTGTGGAATCGTCGGAGGAAGAGTTGTCATCATCTGTGCCATCATCAGCGTCAACGCAGTCAGTATCCACCGCTGCTTCCAGGTCGCTCACATCGTAGTCAGTAACGAACTCCTCTGGATCGCTAGAGTCTGATGCCTCTTCTTGCTCTTCTATCCATTCATCTCCACTACGATAATCTGCATCGCTATCAATATCACTGGCATCAATGATGTTCCGCATCCTCTCAGCTCTGCTTGCCGCTCGCTGACGTTTTTCTTCAGCCTCGTCAATCTTTTCCTCCACACGCAACCATCGGACGTCTCTGTCGTCGTACCCACGGGAGCGAAGCTTAACCAGCTTCTCGTTGAGTTCGGCTATCCGCCAACGTAAAGATTCCTCCTCCTCGATAGACTAAGCAAGCAAAGAGTGAGGATCCTTGGCAGCACCGCGATTCTTCGGAGACATTTTAGCGTGAGGGTAGAGTAGCAAGTGGCAGAAGAAGCAGGTCGTAGAAGTGGTGASACGTGGTGATGGAGACYRAAGCTGAGCAMAGAAATGGAGGGATCRTCCTGCACCGAACAACTCGAAAACCACCTGCAGAAGCGCACGTATGCCGGAGGGCTCAGCGGGCAGCTATGGCCGAACTTCTCCTCTCTCTCTCTCTCTCTCTCTCTCTCTCTCTCTCTCTCTCTCTCTATCTATCTATCTATCTATCTATCTATCGTTTGTGTATGACTGGCGCCGTTCCAACAGCGCAGGTACTTGGCCAACACTGCGACTACTGCGTCCCTCGACCAACACCGCGACTACAGCCTCCCTCGTCCGCCAACACTGCGACTACAGCGTCCCTCCTCGGCCAACACTGCGACTACAGCGTCCCTCCTCGGCCTCACGTGCGGCGCGGAAATGCACGAAGGGTGCACGACAGCGAATGAGCAACCAGCCCAGGTCAACACTTAAATAGTGCTGCACTGGGCCACCATCTGGTCACAATGTACCCGGGACCGCATGCCCACTTCCTGTCGAACCGAAATGTGAGCAGCGGTACGTCGGGCCAGGATGTTGGACTTCTGCTGTAACTTGACCAATGGGACTGAGACTTAACTGGGCCTTTGACCTTTGACTATGAGATTCGACGAAGTGACCGTCAGTCAGCCTCGATTTTGACTGTTCGCTTAGTACCTCGATGTGACTTTTACAGAACGACTTTCCATTTTAGTCCGGACACGACATTTGCCCAGGGAAGCTGTCTTTCGGAATGCCAATTCACAACTTCAAGCTTTGGGCTAAAAGCTCTTGTACCTCCCTCGATCTGGCAGAAGCGTTCCGATAACATGGAACGGGTGGACTCGGACATTCGAAGAGCCAAGGGGGTCCACAAAACCGACGACGACAAACACCCTTGGGACCCCGAAAGTAAGACGCAGCCCAGCAAGAAAAACGAAGGACAAAGCGACTCCCCTGATTCACTTGGCACAACCCACAACTCAGAAGAGGGAAAAATAAAAATAAAAAATCGAAATGGCCGAAGGAAAAGACCCGCGAGAAATTGACTCAGATACAGGAAAACCCATGCCCTGGATTCACCTAAAAAAAAAAAAAAAAAAAAAGTCGAGCATTCCGATTCGACTAAACGAAACGGGTGCGGGACTTAAAATCGGCGGACCACCCCATCCCCACCCGTGACCAACCGGAAAAAACCCCAGGCAGCAGCGGACCGCGAAAGCAGACCGGTTAACGGAACCACAGAAAACTCACTCGAGAGGTTTTAGCCCGAGCACGATTTTACACACATCTCTCCCCGGTCTCTTAGGCCGGACGACCAACCCGAGAGAGCGAGCAGATGGTCTTAAACGAAATCAATGGTCGAGAAAGCTAACAGTCAATCCTCCCACAGCAGTAGTCAACGCTCGTCACGCATCCATCAACCTCACGGAAGGAAGTGTCCGGATGCCCTGCGACGGATGCAACCTTGACTTTTCAGGGCAACAGGCGGCGCAACCACGTCCCCCAGGCGCAACAAAAAAAAAAAAAAAAAAAAAAAAAAAAAAAAAA